AGAGTGAGCTAAATATGATCTTGAGAGATGGACTTCACATGGTTCGATGATTAGAATTTGGAGCTACTATTTAGGAGTTAGGATAATTTAATAGATTACTATTAATGTTAGGAGATGTCTAGAAACATAGTTTTTATTTTATATGTTATAAGGACAAGTTCCAACTTTTCATTTATTTTCAATAAAAGTGAAATTTTGGTTTATATGGTTGCCTCATTTTATATTTCCTTGCAATGACATTTATGAATGTGTTGGTTACATTTCTAATATTAGCAATATTAATTGTGGATTTGATTCTTATGATATCGCTTATGGTATTGTCATAATTGACCAAGTGAAAAGAAATCTCATCACCAAGTGGACAAATACTTGGTATTGTACAAGTCACATTGTATAGTATACGAGAATCTTGTTCATTTAAAAATTATAACTAATTCATTGATCACATGTTTGTCAAGTGAAGGACTAACGGATCTAGTACATGTTGATATGGACCATTTAGATCCACCACAAAGGATGATAACTCTATTCGTCATGATTTTATGATGTTTCAGTAAATATGGTTGTGTACTGGGAAGGTTACCACATTAGATCAGATCAAAGTTTGGGGTTGTGAGGCTTTTGTGAGAAAAGAAACTCATGACAAGCTCGAGCCTCGGAGTGAGCGATGTATTTTCATCGGCTACCCGCAGAAGTCCTTTGGATATCTCTTATATAGACCGAGTGATAATGTTGTATTCGTTGCGAGGAGAGGAGTCTTTAGAGAGAGAGAACTCATATGCTAAGAGGACAGTGAGAGGCAAATTAACCTTGAAGAGCTTCAAGAGTTCAGCGATGAAGGAACCTCAAACACTAGCACTCAACCCGAGGAGGAAACTCCGGTTGAACCAATTAACAAGTCCATAGCTCCGAGGCATTCCAGTAAAGTTAGTGTTCCAATTCTGTTATATGGTTTTCATATAACAGCTAAAGGTGATACATTTATCAATGATTGCACACTGATAAATTTGGATGAACCTAACAACTACGTGGAAGCCACGGCAGGCCCCGAGTCTGCTAAGTGGAAAGAGGCTATGGACAGTGAGATTCAGTCCATGTATGACAATCAAGTTTGGAACTTGGTTGATAATGTACCAGGACGTAAGACAGTCGGGTGCAAATGAATCTTCAAGAAGAATACCGACATGGATGGGAATGTACACACATATAAGACACGACTGGTTGCGAAGGGATTTACTCAAACTACAGGAGTTGACTATGATGAGACCTTCTCACTAGTAGCGAAGATTAAATCTAAAAGGGTTATGATGGCCATAGCTGCATTTCATGACTATGAAATATGGAAAATGGATGTCAAAACCGCTTTCCCTAATGGAAAGTTGGCTAAGGATGTTTACATGAGTTAGCCAGAGGGTTTTATCAGTGCAGAGTACCCTAATAGAGTGTGTAAGCTTGAGAAATCCATATTTGGATTGAAACAAGCATCTCGCAGATGGAATCTTTGTTTTGATGAGAAAGTCAAAGAGTTCGGATTTTCGAGAAGCGAGGATGAGTCCTGTGTATATGTCAAAGCTAGTGGGAGTATAGTTAGTTTTATGGTGTTGTATGTGGATGATATACTACTCAACGGAAATGACATCCCCACCGTGCAGGAGGTCAAGTCCTGGCTTGGGAAGTGTTTTGCTATGAAGGACCTCGGAGAAGCTACCTATATCCTGGGGATAAGGATATTGAGAAATAGAAGTAAAATATTAATAGGACTTAGTCAAAGTGCCTACTTGGACAAGGTGCCGAAACGTTTCAGCATGGAGAACTCCAAGAAAGGTGACTTACCTATCCGAGGCAATACTAAACTGAGTAAGACTCAGAGTCTGAGTATAGAGGCTAAGATAGCAGAAATGAGTCATATACCATATGCTTCTGCAGTTGGTTCGATCATGTATGTTATGACTTGTACTTGACATGATGTGGCCTTTGCTTTGAGCATGGTCAGTAGATATCGAGGGAACCCTAGTAAAGCTTATTGGACTGTGGTTAAGAACATTCTTAAGTACCTACGGAGGACTAAGGATTGGATCCTTACCCTCGGTGGGAGTGATGACTTGAGAGTAACGGGGTATAGCGATGTGAGCTTTTAGACCGACATAGATCATTTCCGCTCTCAGTCGGGCTGGGTGTTTACCCTGAATGGAGGAGTAGTGACATGGAAAAGTTCAAATCAGGAAACTATAACTGATTCAATGTGTGAATCAGAGTACATACCAGCAAGAGAATTAGCGAAGGAGGCGATATGGTTTAAAAACTTCATCGGATACCTTGGAGTTATTCCATCCATAAAGGAGCTTGTGGAAATTTTCTGCGATAATGAAGGGGCGGTTGCCTTAACCAAGGAACCGAGAGATCATGGAAGATCCAGACATATCGACAGAAAGTACCACTTCATAAGACATCAAGTAGATGAAGGGAACCTCGTGGTAAAGAGGATATCGTCAGATGACAACCCAACATATCCCCTCACAAAGGGACTGACTGAGGTTAAGCACTTGCAGCATGTGAGGGGTATTGGGCTAAAGGATGATATTAGTTTTAGTGATTAGATAAACCGAAACTTGTAATAGCTAAATTGTAATTGACATTTGATGATGAATAAAAGGAGTTTTATTTATAAGTAAAGTTACTTTCTTGTGTCAATTATTTACTATTGTTTCACTTTGCATGTTTTGACTTCCAGAATAAATAAGATTTATTCAAACTATCCACAATCGTTCATACTTTGGAAGTAGGTATGAAAGAAGACTGTCATGAGTTGGCTTGTAGGATTGTCTAAGGAGTTAGGCATTGCAACAGGTTTGCTACACCATTCGTGAGTACTTCTGAAATAAGATTTGAGTATTGGATTAACCTGTGCTCACTTGTATCACTTCATGGAATTTATCACGAGTGATCGTGAGATGATAATATCATATATATGTCTTCAAACCTAGATATATGAGTTGTTGACTATGAGTTAGTCATGCATTGATGGCACGAAAACGCATCAGTAACTTGATGTTATAAAACGTGTCGTTGTGCATGGTTTAATGAGTAGTTGGTACAATCATATAATGTCGAAGTTTATCTGTTCTTTTATCCTAAGAGGATTAAAAGCAACATCTTGGGCCACTCGATAATTCTGTTTTGACTTATATGTCGGACCCGGTCAGAACAAAATTGATGTCTTCAGTTATTTTCTATGTCAGACAAATTGGAAATCGGGAAACAAGTTGTTGGACAATAAATATGACATTGTTCCATGTATTTGTCTAGCTGGTATCTTGAGAACAGAGGAGTATATGATCCCTTATCTATAGGATGCATCACTGACTGGGTCAGAGTTGACAACGGCTTTTGGAAGCTTACGATTGCTAAGTCAAATCCTGAAGTCATATAGGCAGCTATAGTAATTAGACTTATCCAAGTGGGAGACTGTTGGATTTGGTGTCTAAGCCCATAACTATAACTGGTATGTACTTGACCCGATAGTAGCATGGTCTTTTTGGGTTACCTTCACCAATGCAATTTGATAGGATGGTTTTATGAGAATAAGGTTATTTACAATTTATTAATATATTATAAGTATAATATATTAATATGGTTATTTAATTAGTATTGTCTAAGAATTAATTTGGAATTAATTTTGTGGTTAAAAGTGACTAATTAAATATGGAGGGATTGATTATGTAAATCAATGATACTTATAGTATGGGTTAAGAGATCCATGATTATGTAAGTGGGCTAAACGAATAATATAACCAATGGATAGTTCATGGAGGTTAAACTCATGGATCATAGAAATGTGGAAAATCATGGATCGTTAGGGTTTACAAAGTGTAACCCTAACACTTGCCACAACTATTAATAGCCCCCTCCATGCTCCAAAATCGGTTGCACCTTCAATAGAGACTAATAACTTATTCTCTTAGAACCTCCTTTTGTATATTGGTGTTTGTGAACCATTGGAGGCATCACACTTGAGGTGCTTAAGCTTTCAAAGGTCAAGAACTCTACCATACTCAAGAGGTAAGCATCCAAACCAAAGTTTTGTTATATAGCTTCAATTGTATGCTAGTTAGGGTGAATGATTTGGAAATAGAAAATGCATGTATGTTTGGTTGCATGTGCACTTAGGAAGTGTTATAGTGCTTAAAACCCAACAGTTGCTACATGTATGTTGTTCGTTTCTATACGATATACAAAAGGTTGTTGATGCACTTATGTTTGGTTGGGAATATACTTTTATTTAGGTAAAACGTAATGTGATTATGTAAATTATTTTTGCATATTATCTGAATAAGTTATCTAACAATCTTCAACATTTACATGTTATTAGTATGAGGAGGTTCATTAGGGGATGATTGGATTGGTGGGGAAGAATTGTGAACTTGGGCTCCACAGAAGATTCGGTCGTTGACTGTTGCTATCAGACCAATGTGAGCTTGGGTTGTCCAAGCATACGAAAAATAAAATCGTAACCTACAAGAAAGTGAGAACTCAAACTACAATTTGCAGATTGGTTTTTTTTAAAAAGAGATGGGATTAATACTATCCCACTTTAAATGTTATGTTTCTTTTGGAAAAAGTTAAATAAAGCAGACAAAAATTAAGTAGTGAAAGGAGAGTAAATGTAAGTTTTTTTTTAATATGTTTCTTTTACAAGAAGACCATTTTTTTTAACTTTAATGTTAATATTTGGTTTTCTATCAGTTGGTATCTTTTTCTGGAAAGGGTAATGTACTTTATTATTTTTAAGTTTGCAGTCATCTGGTATGATTTAAAGCATGAAAAGACAGTGTATTTATATTTATATTTTTGTTTTTTATCATTTGATTTGTTTTAACAAAACAAGCAATCTACTTTGATTAATGGTAAAAACAACATGTTTATGTGGTTATGTTTTTTTATCAGACCAAAAAATATTTTACATTCATCTTACGCTTTTGTTTATCTGACTATGAAAAAGCATGAACGTAAAACATAAAATAATTGTGCTTAATTCAGTAATAGGTGAAATCTTTATAAATTGTTGCTACCATGGGATTATAGTCACCAACCATGATTTTATGAACACACACTCATATACACAACCACACATACATGACTATATCTTGTATATATGTGACTGATGGTCTTTTGGAAAATACAATTCTATAATCTCAGAGTAACTTATGTCAATTTTCGAATGCTAATCACATTTCATTCGAACCCGTGGCATAATGCAAACGGGCTTTTTTCGAGTTTAAATTAACTCTTATCATCATGCTAATTTATTCTTAAATTACCTGTACTTGCGTATATGTTTCTAACCTTTTAGAGGAAAAAATCTCTCTTTCTAAGAGACTAAATTATTCCTAGCTTCACTTATTTAGTAGTAACATTTTCTGTTTTGTCCATATCTTTTGATAATATAATGGAATACTACACAATTCTCTCCTTTTTGTCTCTACCTTCTCTCTCAAATTTTCTCTCTCTTAGTTTGTTAAATCCGTAGTGCTTGTGCAGAAAGCAAAAAATTGCATACAGTTGAAACGAAAGTAAAGTTACAGAAAGTTGAAATCGGAGATTTTCCACCGGCGCTAAGGAAAAAGCCCCTGCCTCACCACCACTGTCCATCAGTCACCACAATCTACCACCGCTCTCAGATCAGTCACTCAGTCACTCACTGCTCGCACACGGTATTCTCAAATCGATATTGCTAAATGCTAAATGCTAAATGCTAAATGCTAAATGCTAATGGGTAATGCTATTCAACATAGATCGATATGAATATAAGACCTTATATAGCTAAAGAAGTGTGTAATTTTTTAGGGTTTATTGTACTTTCGATTAATCTTTACAGCGAAGGAATCATGAATAATACTGTGTCTTAACATCTTCTTACCAGCATCGATCGTTAACAAATAAGTATGATCATACATCAAAAATTGATTAACAAAATGCTTTTGTATTAGTTTGGTTGCTATGGAGTACTACATGAAGAAATCAGACAGAAAAACAAGATGGTCAAGATGGATCGATTGTTACAACAGTTCCCAGAAGATATTACTTGTGGGTGAAGGTGATTTCTCATTTTCCGCATGTTTAGTTCGAGCTTTTGGCACTGCTAAAAACATGGTTGCCACTTCGTATCTTGATCAAGGTAAAAACTATACGTAATAATATATTATATTAATTTATCATTATTAATTTAATATATTATCTTTCATGTCTAATGGGACATTTTGTTGCGAAAAAAATTATTTGATCCAATGATATGAATTCAGCAACAGTGTTATGTTTTGTTCTGTATACCTTCGTGTCCAAATGTCACTTCCCATTTGTTGCTTTTGGTTAATAGGGTCCCTAATTAATATAATCTTATTGAATTACAAATTAATCTTATGGGTTAAATAACTAATTACTAATCATTTTTATTAGATTCGTTATTTAAAAAGCATTGGACGAGTATACCACACCTTCAAGAACTTAAGAGATTAGGGTGCTTATTATTGGTCGGAGTCGATGTCTACAATATGGACACTAACCCATTTTTCGAAAACACAAAATTCGACATCATCATCTTCAACTTCCCTCATGCTGGTCATTATCATTACTTATCCGAAAGTAGCCCTATATTAATCCAGTAAGTTGTTTAATTAACTAATTAATTAATTAAATTAAATTAAAGTACGTGTGATCTCATGCATTGATGTTTGTACCGGTGTGCATGAATGTGTTGTACTGTACATATGATGATGATGACAGGATGCATAGGGAGTTGGTGGGAGCTTACTTCAGAAGTGCAAGCAAGATGTTGAGTGAAGGGGGTGAAGTGCATATAAGGCATAGAGATGATCCTCCATATGATAGATGGGATATTGTTTCGCTAGCTGTTGAAGCTGGATTGGAGTTGAAGGAGAAAGTGTTGTTTGATAAGAGTAAGTATCCGGGTTATCATAACAAAAGAGGAGGAGATGTTCAAACTAACAAGACTTTTCCTATTGGAGATGCTTTTACTTTTAAGTTTGTTCAAACTCATGATTTACCAAAGGTTGATTCAAAGAATGATGATATCGGTTGTGTATTAGAGATGAAGAGTGTTTTACATGATGATCGTTTTGTTCGTATGTTCGATGGGCTTTGTTTAAAGGATGATGATGATGATGATGATGATGATGATGATGATGAGGAGGAGGAGGAGGAGGAGGAGGAGGGCTATGCCGAGGATTATGAATATGTTGATGATGATACTGATGAGAAGGACGATAACAATGACGATGATGATGACGATGATGATGATGAGGAGGAGGAGGGCTATGCCGATGATTATGAATATGTTGTTGATGATACTGATGAGAAGGACGATAACAATGATGATGATGATGATGAGGGATATGACGAGGACAACACCGATGAGGAGGAGTACTTTTGTGATTACGACTATGAAAATGACTATGATAATACATGGTGATATTGGTGTAGGAGAAATTAATGAAGGGTTATGTTCGTGATTATGATCATATTGATGGAAAAATGGGGTTGAAGATAATGATAGTTACATGGTCATGGTGATGTAAATAATGGAAGATGATGATTGTGATTGTGATTAAGAAAATGAAATAGTTGGCCATGTTTGAATGTACGGGTTCAAAACTTGTTATCTTTTTACCTTTTGGGAGACAAGGTAATAAGTTTTACTTTTGAAATTATTGAGAGTATGATATAACTCAAAATATCTAGCCACTAAAGTATTAAATTTGAGGAAAATGACAAATCTAGCTATTTGTTTTAATTATTTTTTTATAAAATACTTAAAGATTATTAAAGTTTTTTTAAAATTTAACCAGAGAGACCACATGATGCTAATGCGTCGGTGGTTTCATCGAGTGGTTAGCAAAAATCATGGCCTCTCTTTAGTTTGGTGGTTTGTTTGTCATGTTTAAAAGCTAAAAAATATTCCTCATTTTTATATTCATGTCTTAGAAATTTTACCTGATATAGAAGACGGGTTTCCTATTAACAAATATTGTAGGTGTTTTTTTTTTTTTTTTTTTTTTTTTTAATAATGTCAGTTGAAACCTAGTAGTTATTGGTGGTTATTTTATCTGGAAAAAAAAAAAAAATCACATATGGCTATTTGCGATTGGACAACCCTTTTATGCACACACAGTGCATTAATGATTTATACAATCATAGATATTAGCCTAGAAAAAACATGAAATCGAAATGGGTAAACAGGAGAACGCATATGGACTCATTTGCAATTTCGTATTATGAGAAAATGGCTAACATCTATTTTTTTTATATACAATGTGAAAGACTTGAAACCACATTTGGCTTGATGAAACTATCTTAGAAATTTAGGGTACCGAAAGACTTAAAAATTTTAAGAATCGTATTGAGCACTTTCAGATTAAAGTATTTGGGTGGTATTTCAAAAAAAAATTAATCGGATAAAACTGAGAGAGACAAGAACATAGAATGTTTGATGATGTTTGCGTATGTACTAGAAAATGAGACCAAAACCGATTTTAAGATCTCTGTCTGAAAACTGTCATATGACAATTTCAAACTGTCACAAACCATCAAAAAACGGTCATAAAAACGAGTATTTGGATAAAAATAAAAAATGGGTTAATTCTAAAAAAACCGGAAATCTGATGCATTTTTTATACAGTAACATAACCTATATAAAAAAAATTCACGCTGACCTAGCAGCTCAACCCTAGCCAAGGGCTCTGCCCCTTGGACCCCGCTCCCAGGGGCGTTGCCCCCGAACCCCCGTTCGTTTAAGGGTTTCGCCCCTAAATGGCAGTATACTTTGAAACTTGATCAAATATAACAAGGGTGTATTACATACATTCCTTACTTGTTTAATATTATAAAAATAACTTTTGATCAACAAATTAATCTCATTACACTTAAATAACATTGATGATAACAAATCACAAACAGAAAACGTATGGTTGATGAAAACGCATGCTCGTTTGCCATATATGCGATTTCTTTGGTTAAAAATGAAAATTCTTTATTTTTGGCTAAGTATAGAATTTGGTCAAAAGAAATGGTTATATTTGTCATTTACCATTAATTTGATATTTTGAGGTAATTACCAAGTCGGCCTGAGCACATGCGTGGTGTACGACAACACAGGGCATTGTGTTGTCACGAGGCTCAAATTTTCAATTCGTCACGGTTCCATCAATAATTCGTCGGGAAATTGTCATTGTCCATCTTTACTCTGTCATGAATTTGTCGATAACCTGTCACTATCCATCCTTAATTTTTTATGTGTTGCTAATCCTAAATTTTAGAAGCTCATTTTTTATCTTTACACAAAATCTTCAACTACAGTGTACTTGCCATTGTTATTATGACCAAAAAAATGGTATTAACCTATTTTAACTTTTGATCTAAACATAATTTTGGTACATGAATAAATGATAAGAAAAAACCCTTAATATCAAAAGGCTCCCTTCTATTCTTAAATCAAAATAATATATATATATATATATATATATATATATATATATATATATATATATATATATATATATATATATTGTAACACCTATAAAAATCATATCAAATTTAAACTTTTAAAAACATTTCAAAACCATTAATCATTACAAAACTTGTTTTCAAAATAGTATAATATCATAGTATCCCAGAAACAAATTCATAAACATGAGGAGTTGTACGATCATGCTTTTGCCTTTCCACGATCATCTGATGTACCTGAAACAAAAACTGAAACTGTAAGTCTGAAGCTTAGTGAGTTCCCCCAAAATACCGATACACTACAAATAACACATATACAAATAACAGCATGTACTGGGTCCACAGCTTTACAGTCTGGATTATCCACACCCTCCTCTCTAACCCTAACTTGATGGTACCCGAACCTCAGGTCTATTTTGGAGAACCAAGATGATCCTTGCAACTGATCAAAGAGACCATCTATCATCGGGAGTGGATAACGGTTTTTGACCGTCAGCTTGTTCAACTCCTGGTAATCAATGCACATCTGGTGCGAACCATCTTTCTTCCTGACGAAGAGGATCGGTGCTCCCCATGGAGAACTGCTCAGACAAATGAACTGCTTGCCCAAAAGTTCCTGCAGATGTGATGACAGCTCCTGCATCTCTGGTGGTGCCAACCAGTACGGCCCCTTGGCGATAGGGGCTATACCTGGAACTAGGTCGATCCTAAACTCGACCTGCCTCTCTAGAGGCACTCCGGGCAACTCCTCTGGAAATACATCAGCAAAATCCCTAACCACTTTAACCTCTGATATTCAACTCTAATCCCTGACCTGCGTATCCACCACATATGCTAGATAACCCACACACCCGTGCTGAATATACTGTCGAGCCCTGGCAGCTAAACAAAACCCTGATCCCATTCTGGTACCCTCGCCATAAACAATCAACTCTCCCCCACCTGGGGTTCGAACCATTACCAGCTGACCCTCACAGTCGATACCCACAATCACACACACATCCCTCATGGGGATCGGGATCAAGTCGATCGGAAAAGACACCTTGAAGATCTCTAACTCGCATCCCCGATACACTGAAGAAGCGGAAACCCCGTGTTCGTTAGCGATAGAGACTCGCAACGGACACTCCAGCTCTCCTACTGGCACACTTAACTCCCTACTAGACGTCTGAGATACAAATGACCGACTCGCCCCCCGAGTCAATCAAAACCAATGCAAGTAAGGAGTTCACTAAAAACGTACCTAATCATAGGTATAAACAGATAAGCATATAACATATGCAATCAATAAGATAATAGACAAAAACATACCAGCAACCACATCTGGTACTGCCCTGACCTCCTCTGTTGTAAGCTGGAAGGCGCGTCTATGAGCCTTCGGGGGCTTTGCTCTACCTGGCCTCTCGTCCGTAATCCTCATTGTAGCTGGCACGGGAGCCTGCGCCAGCTTGGCAGTAAGTAATGGACAGTTGGCCTTCAAGTGGAAAATCTGATCACAGTGATAACATAATCTCATACTCAGAACTGAGGCGGGCTGGCGATAATCCTTTACATAATACCCATCCTTGCCACACCTGTGGCACCCGCTATTAGCTAGAAAAATCCCGGAATGACCCTTTCTGCACTTTCCACAAGTGCGGATCTGCTGACCCATAGTCCTAGAATTAGCAGTCTTAGACCGCTTCGGCGTCGGCTGTGACTGTACCGAGGTTTGCCGTTGCTCCCTCATCTGCAGCTCAATCTCCAACTCACGCCACCTAACGGCCTCTTTCAACTCCAGTAGGGTATCACATCGTTGGGTAGACACAAACTGACGGATGTCAGTCTTGATCATGCTCAGATAACGTGTCATCTGAGCCTACTCGGAAGCAAACTCTGGGAAGAACATCGCCCTCTCCGTGATCATGCGGGTGATCTCCGTCACCGACTCCCCATCCTGTCTCAATCCCAAAAACCCATGAGCCAATCGTTCACGCTCGACCCGTGGAATGTAACGAGTGCAGAATATATCCCTAAACTACTCCCAAGTAATAATAGCTCTCTGATCATCAGTGTACGACCTTATCTTTAATCTCCACCAGTCCTTGGCCCCAAACCTTAGCAGATTCAGGGCACATCTGACCTTCTGGTTAGTAGGACATGGGCATGTAAAGAAACACCCCTCCACATCAGAAACCCACCTCATGGCTTTAATGGGGTCATGAGTCCCATCAAAAGTAGGGGGCTTCGTGTTATCGAAGTTCCTGTATTGAAAATTCCGATTGGCTCCTCCCCCTGTCGTTGTGTAACATCTCATTTAAAATAGAATAATTAAATAATAAACCTAGAATCCTGAGAAGTAATTTATTATTTTTTTATATTATTATTGTCCAAAATTCAAATAATAATTAGTGGGGTGTTGGTTTTGGGGTGCCAAATGATATAATTTTGATTTCCGAGGATTAACGAATATTATCAACATCCAATAGGGTCTAAGCCCTATTCCCTTGAAGCCCAAAGCATTTACTTGATCCATCTATTGTCCACAATTATGAATTAAGAAATTTCTCGAAATCGGATGTTACAAAAAAAAAAAAATATCCAAAAAACATTTTGTAAAAACAATTATGAATTGTGATACTACCTTTCCATAAAAAAAAACATAAGAGGTTGAGAAAGAAAAAACTTGCCTAAACTCAAACTCCATCGATTCTTCTTTTTCTCCATCTCCAACACATCGAATCACCTCTGAGCCATGTACACCTTCACAACCTGGATTCTCTTATGCATAATTTTTTTTGGAGAAACCACCACCAAATTTTGGTTGACATTGAGTTTATCAGCTTGTCGAGGCGGCCGAATGTGAAGCTGAGAACCATGAAGCCTAATTGAGAGTGTGTGAGAATGAAGTCGGCGATGCTGAACAGCGAAATCAAATCTAGTGGATGGTGAAACAACGATGACTCCATATTTTGCGTATGATCTTAAACCTATAACATCGTCAATGAATTATATGGCGGCGACGGATGTGGCCGACAAAACTAGATCTTATGGCCTTCTTCAGATCTGGTGAAACGAGATCGAGACAAGTCATGATGGAAGTCGATCATCTGTTCTGGTGGTGCTTCATTCACTGTGAACAGATGATAACAAACTTTTGTAGATCTGGAGAGTGACAATGCGATTGTTTGGTGGTTCCGACGAGAGGTTGTTTATGATGATGGGAGGAGCAAAGGTGGAGGTAATGGATATGGAGAGTGAAAAAAAGACAATTATCGAGTGGTTCTGGTGTTTCCAGCTTTCCAATGACGATCTGACGATGATACAACGGCGATATGGCGGTTCCGACAACTTTCTAGTGGTTTCCTGGTCTGGTATGGAGAAGATTACACTGACATACTAGCATGTATATTGATGGGGTAGGATATTTTTTAATTGTTTAGAAATAAATAAATCTCTAAATTTTCAACATTTGAAATTTGTGGTTAAAAATTGTTCACAATTGTTCTTAAATTAATAAATGATCACATTTGAATATATATATATATATATATATATATATATATATATATATATATATATATATATATATATATATATATATATATATATATTCTTTATAAATCTAAACATGATAAACAAAAAATAATACTGAAAAAGAAATTATTAAGTATAAAATAATCATTTTATATCCGCGAGTTAATTTTTAAAAATAAAAAGTGAATATACATTTTGATAGGATATACATAATTTCTAATGATATTGATATGCGTAATTTCTTGACATCCTGTTATTTATATATAGAAGTGATGGCCCCACCAACAATATTACATAGTGGTAACCATTGGGGGATACAACCACGTTGGTTGTTTTGCCCCCACTTAAAAGGGTGCACCACATATATATTATATGGAAAAAGAAAATTATAAAAGTTTACATATATGGTGCCCTTTAACATTTTTCATCCAATTTGCTTAAAAATCAAAAAAAAAAAAAAAAAAAAAGTTGAAAGTTAATATATAATTACTATTATTTATATATTAGTTAATTTTTTTTATAAAATGATCCGGCCACTGGTGGTGACATAATATTTGAGCTTAACAAAGTTCAACCTTAGGATGGTTTAATAATACATGTATGGTAATTTATTATTTCTTATAGTGAATTTGGTTAGATATATGTCGGATCGGACAAAATTCAAGAATAACATGTAAAAGCTCAACTGTTCTCTAGCGCTATATTGGTCACTGTTGTTCATGACAAAATTTAACTTTCGTTTGGAAATTCTATAACTCACCACCTATTAAAAGCAATGAAATCTGAACGTCTGTAACTATGATGCATGCTTAATTCTGTAACTATTGTTTTGGGAAGATGAACAGTATTTGACAATGCTACATCTCCCTTTACTTTAACTGCTACTTACTATACATACAAGCATGTATAGTAGTATATATATATAAGCTTATCCGAAACGCTTCTTCGTACTTACGTACGTGTGCATGTATAATAGACATGAACAATTCAGATAGAAAAGAAGGATGGATCGATTGCTACAACAGTTCCCAGAAGATATTACTTGTGGGTGAAGGTGATTTCTCATTTTCCGCATGTTTAGCTCGAGCCTTTGGCACTGCTAAAAACATGGTTGCTACTTGGTATCTTGATGAAGGTGGGCGTATGCATTAATACATGTAATGATAAATTGTATTAGTTTTGTCTATGTACAATTTTATTTTATTTTAAACACAAAATTTTATTAGAAGCTGAGAATTGAAGCAAAGAAAACAAGAGAGCAGGAAGATTACCTTAAAGATATATACGATCATCTTTCATGCCTAAAGTGGATTTAAAATAATCTTGAAGATTCTATACAATTGAGGCTAGCTGTTTGAAGTTGTACAATTCAACATTTAGCAAGTACAACGAATAAAATAGCTAAAAAGAAAATGGGTTAAACCGGTTTAAAATGTATTCTATAATACATACAACTTTTTTAAAATTTAACACATGAATAAATTATTATGAAATTAAACAGAACTATCTGTTTTGACTAGCTCATTTTCCATTAATCTTGTCACCTCTATATTGATGTTCATAGATTGCTTAGTAATTAACCATCAAACGAGTTTATCACACCTTGAAGAACTGGGGAGATTAGGCTGCGTATTGATGTATCAAATCGATGTCCACAAGATGCACACTCACCCCATTCTCAAGGGAATGAAGTTCGACATAATCATCTTCAACTTCCCTCATGCTGGTCATATTTGTTATCTACGTGAACATGACACAGAATTAATCCAGTAAGATGTTAATTTACTCTATGCATGCATTAACTGATGTTTGTACTCATTATGCATGATTGATTGTGTTGTATATATGACGACAGGAAGCATAAGGAGTTGGTTGGAGCTTACTTCAGAAATGCAAGCAAGATGTTGAGTGAAGGGGGTGAGGTGCATATAAGGCATAGAGATGACTCTCCATATGATAGATGGGATATCGTTTCGCTAGCTGTTGAAGCTGGTTTGAAGTTGAAGGAGAAAGTGCGTTTTAGTGAGAGTGAGTATCCAGGTTATATTCAGAGAAGAGGAGGGGGTATTAAAACCGATGACACTTTTCCAATCGGATCACCTTTCACTTTTAAGTTTGCTCTTGATTATACTAGACGTTAATGACGAAGAAATTCGTGTATTAGAGGTTCAAGATGATGAAGTTTGTATTTGGAGATCGTGGTTAATTCAAACTTCAGTTGGTTACTTTTATTTTCGGTGGTATGCATAAAGGATTGCAACATATATATCATTCTAGTACTTTTTATATTTAACTCTAAAAAATTCAATTAAGCATATTTAAAAAAACCATAACCTAATTTATGACATTTAAGGATTAAAAAATCCCTTTTTTAATAAAAATCATGATAAAAAAAGATGTAGTGAACCAACATGGATGTCGAGGTATAACCATAGAGGGCTGAGATTGGTGGTCGAGATATATGGGGAAGTGATGGGTTTGGCAGGATGTTGAAAACTTGAAAGCTTAATAGAGGGAGAGATCAATGGTTGTTGGATTGTTGCATTGTTGACATATGAGATTGATGGTTGGAGCATAGGTTTAACAGAAGCACACAGATAAGATAATCATGATCCATGTATACTTCTAACCCACTTTCTTACCAATTACATGGTTTAGAGCGATTCAAATAAAAATGGAAATACAAAAAAAAAAAAAAAAAAAAAAAAAAAAAAATGGTCTTAATAATAACTAGGATAATTTCACGGATCATGTATAAAATATCATCCAAAATCTATAATTTCAATCATAATTTTTGGTTACACCAAATTAGATTTTGGTATTATTAATTCAATACAACAATATCCAAATTTTAAACACGTACTTTGATGTTTTTTTAATGATTTCATACACAACAACTTCGCCAATAACAATTAGAAAAAAAAAAATTGTTGGTGAACCGAATTGATCATTTACATATTTCAAATGATAGTTAAGCTAAGTTAATTAGCGGGAAAAGTCATCTATAGGGAATAGACGTGATGGTTGGCTTTTAGTGGGACCGTAGCCAAGAGCTCTGCCTCTTGAACTCTACAAGGGACGTTTCTCCTTGCAAGGTTATTAAAAACGTGATTTTGATTGTAGAATCGTACGATTCTACAATCTCATATCTGTATTTCGATTCCGATCTTAGCAAACTCGTTTTTAGGTAGAATCGTATTAAAATCGTAAATCGGATCGTGGAATCATAAAGTCGTAAGCGTTTCGATTCTACCTACACTAGCGTTTTTTTACCAGCTTTCTTTCTCATTTGATTCTAATTAAATGAGTATAATTCTAAAACTCTAAAAAGAAACAACAAACAGGAAGCAACGATTAGTGTAGTTGGATCGTAGATGTTTCAAAAACGAATTACTCAAAAGAGATGAGCAGGAAATATAGTTTCGTGATTTGTAAATAACTAAATATACTCTACTTTTTATTTATTTGTTTTATTTCATTTTAACATGATGGTTCAACTATTTAACACAGAAGTAACATAAACAAAATAGTCCAGTAATTTATAAAAAAGAAAATCAATAGGCATATTGTATATATAATGTTTTTGGCATTTTATTTTATTTTTGATTAAGTGTGATGGTTTGGAAAGTGAATAGTGCATACATAATTGATGTTAGATAATTAGCAATAAGATTTTTCATTTTTGGCATTATTTTCTAGATTTTTTTGGATATCCGAATGAAAACTAATTAAAACTAGCACTAGCAGTAGTTCATTCGTAGAATCTTACGATTCTAATTCAATTTTATGATCACGATTTTGCAAACCTAAAAAAAATTCTATATAAAATCTTGATTTTGCAAACCTTGTCTCCTTGGACCTGCCACAGATGCCACTCGTTAGATCCCTTCAGGGGTAATGACTTTTGGTTAGGACCAATCCAAACATATATAGAGTCTGAGGCGAAAAGAAAAGAATAATCCTTAAAGACACATATAATAAAGATTCAAAAAAAAAAAGATATCATTTATTTTTTACTATAAACGCGTTCAATTAGCAATAACAAACAAACATATTTGTTTATTTTTTGGGTTATTTTGAGTTTGAACCAACTTTAAACCCTAAAAATCATTTAGGTAATATATATATATATATATATATATATATATATATATATATATATATATATATATATATATATATATATATATATTATGCACTACATAGCCCATAATTTTTTATCCCCCTGGAGACGTGAGCCCTGGGCGGCCACCCGGGTTACCCACTGTCTGGACCGGCCCTGCTCTTGGAACCTCACCAGAGACATTCCCCTCGGACCCTGTTACCTTATGCGAGTGTGTACCATGCACATATCAGACTTGCATTATACTAAAACTAACATCTAGTTGTCTCTAGTAATATGATTATATTAAATGCTTAGTAGAATTAAAACGCGGACGATTGTTAAGGTTGAATTTATTTAAAATTAAGACATTGTCTAATCTTATGATAAATCATTGTTGTTGAGTACGTGTTTTTACTTTTATCAATGACCTTAAATGTATTTGGGCTGGTCACTAATAATTTAAAAGTCATTATCAAAATATGTTATTAGGCCGCAATACATTGCTTTCATCAAAGAGAACTAATGCTTTTTCATATACCTTTGAGCAAATACTTAATAATACTTCATGAATGACTTGCCTTTTAGCCTTTCGTATCTCATACCCACTTTGGTCAAAGCAAATAAAGAAGGGCAAAAAAGAAACAAGATACATCAAATATTCTTATAACAAACAACCATTATTCCACATAAATTATCATGGTGTTTTTGTTGTTTACTTTGTGTTAAAAGTACTATTTGACACATTTAACATGATTAATCAACGAAATTCACACAAAACTCTTAATCCCACACGATTGTAACATCTTTAGCATTTCGATTATCGACCAATGAGGCATAGGTCTCAAAAAGTTGAAGAAAAACATTGTATTTGTTGTAAATTCTTAACTATACCTTATATTACGTGATGCTATATGCTAATGCGTGTAATGCAAAGATTAATGAGTTTATCTTTATCTCTAAATAAGTCAAAATTACAACATCTAAGATATACTTTGAGCACAAAACTAATTAATTACACTAACAATTGATTTCACTTAATAAAATGACCTAAAATATTGTATAGATTTAACTATATTTCAATTGATCTTTGATATAATTGACATGTTAATGATAAAGATGACTCAAACAAGACGTAAATCATCATCCCGATTATGATTGATCTATAATTAAATAAAAACTAAATTTTAAATATGATCTCTATGGTTTGTTGAATGTTGCGATTTTAGTCCAATTTTGTAAATTGTATCGATTTTGTCCTTTTGGTTTTCAATTTTTGCACAATCGGTCCCTCACCCATGTAATTTTACATAGACAAATAGGCAGCGATTGTGAAATAATTGGAAACTATATAAACCAAAAACCATTTCAAATTTATTTTTAAATAAATGTGGTTTTAACTAGGGCTGACAATTCTCGACACGACCCGCGACACGAAATAAATAGGTTTGAGTTGAGTTTTTTAACCCGCCAACCCGCTAACCCGTCAACCCGCCAACCCGTTTATATTCTTAATAAAAAAAAATGTATTTTTAAATGTATTTATGTATCAAGTATTAATATTTAATAAGTATTATATAATATATATATATATATATATATATATATATATATATATATATATATATATATATATATATACAATTTATTCATAGACCATTTGATTGTTTTGATATTGTTACTCGTGGTGAATGGTCTAAGGTCATAAGTCGTAACCTATAAGGTAAGTATGTAACATGTTTCTATGAATGTTTTTAATTTTCATTTGGATGTTTAAGACTTGAATATCTAAAATTTGGACCCTCGAACCCAAATCTGACCCATAAACCCGTATAAATAAATGGGTTGGTGGATCATATATGGGTTTATATTCCAAACCCACCAACCCGTGACCTGTATAGTTAAATGGGTCGTGTTTGGATTGATATATTTTGACCCGCCAACCCGCGACACGCCAACCCGAACACGACACGATTGTCAGGTCTACTTTTAACAAGTGGGTTCAAGGTATATTCTAATTGGGCCTTCAACTCTTTTAACTTTGGGCTTTTGGCAAGATATGTAAAAGTTGCTTCCCAAATACAGCAAAGCAAACACGATTTCAATATTTCGTAGTATTCCATCACTGTTCTTATTTCTTTCAGACGAAGGATTTCGTTTTCCAATCTCTTCAGGATTTTTTTTCTTCTTATAGAGAATCACATTGATCTCTGACGCTCTAGAAACAGTTAATCTTCAATTTGAGTTCATTCGATTTGGTGTTGTTGGTTCGATTTGTTTCGTTGTGAATTCTGAAAGATCTAAAGAAATATGTCTTACGCATACCTCTTCAAGTACATCATCATAGGAGATACAGGTATACGATCTAATTTCAGTTTAAATTTCTGATTGTTTGATTAATCGTCGTTTCCTTATGCATACAATCAAGCTTTGGTTCTGAGTGTGGTGTTTTGTATAATGTTAAATGACTTAATGCGGATACGATATCAGTAGAGACAGTTCTTGATTGTGATATGTTTCGTTCAGTTTTTAGGTCTCTGTTTCATTATGCTCGTTTTTTCTATTCATTATGAATCATATGTTTATCTATTCCAATGGTTATTACTGTAACACTAGACACTCAGTCATACTTAAAATTGAAAACAACTTCAGATGTGATTATAAGGAATCTGAAACAATTGAACAGAAACTTGATTTTATGTAGACTTAATCGTTCATCATGATGACAATTGATACATGTCTTAAACTCAAAGAGGATTATTACAAGACTTGTTGGAGGTTATTAGTATAAGTTGCACAAAATTTGCAGTCATAATCTAATTTCAGATTCATGATTTGGTTTGAAACATTGTATGAGATGATGTAAATAATGTTTAACTAACATGTGCACAGGGGTTGGAAAATCATGCCTTCTTTTGCAGTTCACAGACAAACGTTTTCAACCTGTTCATGATTTAACAATTGGTGTAGAATTTGGTGCACGAATGATCACCATTGACAACAAACCAATAAAGCTACAAATCTGGGACACGGTTTGTCATTCACTTTCTCTACCTTTTCTATTCTTTCCACTCCAAAATCATTTTTTTTTCTTTATTTTTTTCTCACTCAATCTATTATTCCTTTTTTTTTTTAATGACAGGCGGGCCAGGAGTCCTTTCGATCTATAACAAGATCTTACTACAGAGGCGCTGCTGGCGCACTTTTGGTTTATGACATCACCAGGTATGATTCCATTGTAAGTAACACAGTCACAATCACACAGTCACAGTCAGAATTGTAGAGTTACAAGTCAAAGTCACGGTGACAGTAACTGTGACAGCTAATGTTGTGAGTATGATGGATGATGTATGATGGATGATGTAGGAGGGAGACATTCAATCATCTTGCAAGCTGGTTAGAAGATGCAAGGCAACATGCAAATGCAAATATGACGGTTATGCTAATTGGCAACAAATGTGATCTTGCACATAGACGAGCTGTTAGTACGGAAGAAGGAGAACAGTTTGCAAAAGAAAATGGTCTAATTTTCATGGAAGCCTCTGCAAAAACTGCACAGAATGTTGAGGAGGTAAAGCATACACCGTGATAATGGAATATAATGACTCATTCTATTATTACTTTTTTTTTTTTTTTGTTAATTTCCATTTCTGATTTACAAGTTCTCTTTCAGGCATTTATAAAAACAGCTGGAACAATTTATAAAAAGATTCAAGATGGAGTTTTTGACGTATCAAACGAGGCAAGTCTTAACCTTTTCCCATACAAAAAGACGTAAATACCCTTCTCATTCTTAGAAAAAAAATCCATCTCATATATGTATATATTTTTTTGGTGTATGGCAGTCTTATGGGATTAAAGTCGGATATGGTGGGGTTCCGGGGCCATCAGGAGGAAGAGAGGGCACCCCTCAGCAATCAGGAGCATGTTGCAGTTAAAATGAAGAAAAAATCCTTGGCTTAATGCATCATGACCACATTATTTCTGGCTTTTTTTTTTGTTTTTTATTAGTTATGAATAGCTTTAAATTTTTTTTACGGGTGTAATATTGGTGTCAGTTTAAAATCTGATAAATTAGTAGTATATATTTACTTTATTTATCTATGCTATATTGATATGGTGAATTTGGTTCAAATTCATCTTTGTGATTTGTAGGGGGCCATCGCTCACAAATCGTTGTTTCATTTCTAGAATTCTAGAAATAAGATCGCACCATTTTGACAAACCGGTTCGATTCCTCCCACACCTGTTCGGAAGAAACCGGTTTAAAAAAGCGGTGTTTATTGTGGCTTGTTAAGCTTCTTATTTGAATGGGGTATAAAGCTGCAAAACAGACGTATTGCGGTAATTTAAAGAAAAAACCAGTGAACAAAAACACTTTTCCTATATATGATAGATATATGGATATATATGGCTGCGTCAATGAATATATTATATAAAAGTGTTTATTATATATTATATATGGATATATGGATTTGTCATGGTTGTCCATGCTTTCTTTACTCTACTCTACCCCAATAAACAATGAATTACTTTCTCTATAAACAATACAAGTACAACCATGCTTTTGATTGTGCTTGATTTTGTTCAGACGATTCTCAATCCGATGAAAGCAAAGAGGGGATCGGAGGTGGTGGGTCGGAGAAGCTGCGATGGCAGTAGTGGTGGGTTAATGGTTGGTTTCATTTTTCCTGTGGAGATAGTGAAGGTAGGTGATATGTTGGTGCTCAATGGCAACGGGGTCAATGCGTGTTGATTGTGTTTTCCGGTTTTGAAGAAACGAGGCGATGGTGGTGTTGGGTGTCGGCTGAGAAAATGGCGAGGGAGGTGGCGATGGGGAGCTGTGATGATGGTGGTTCTAGACCGGTTCTCACAAAACCGCTTCTAGACCGGTCCCGACATCAATAATCTCCTAGAGGTTCGATTCGTGAACCTAAACTGGATCGGTTCTTCTTGAATCGGTTGGAGCTGAGGAGCATTTATTTTTAGTAGTTTCGGGATTGATCAAGTTGGACCGAACTAGGTTCGTGGAAATCTATAAATCACGTTGGAATATTCTGGAAGGCCAAAGAAAACAGCTTGCTTGGAGAGCAAGGCGCCCTACGGTTTCTAGGGACCGACCTATGAGGGCCTTTTGTTGCCTAGGGTTTCGAAACCTATAAATACAGCTCCCTAGGAACCGTATTCCACGCACAAAAATTCATAGCTCTCTCTCTCTTGGTGATTTCTTCTTGGTGGTTTCTGAGTATTCGCTTTGTGTTTATCGTTTTTCGTTGTTGTTGGAAAATTGATAAATCTGCATTAAATCCTAGGGTTTTACTCTGTTGCTTACATTGTTGTTTCGTTTTTACATTTGTCCAATAACGGGATAGTCTTCATCTACTCCTTCTTATAACCAGATCTGATTGTGAAGGATCTTTCTGATTTCTGGACAAAATTCGGTAACAATAATAATAATAATTGGATTTATTATGTTGCAACATATCAAAGATTAGTTTATAATACTATAAAAAAAACCTTTAATTGTTTGTCAATTCGTGATTAGTTTATAATACTAATTACAGGATTGTTTAAAGATCAAGTTTGAATTTCAACAATCTTAAAGGTTTTTTTGTGTTATAAATTTTAGACTATGGACACCCAACCCTCATCTGCTAATTTCTCACTTATGAACCAAAGAGTTTGTCCGACTTGATTAATAGGTAGAACTACACCTGTTGGGTTGACAAGGTCAAGTTCATGCTTCATGTATTAAAGCTCGCTTATGTTTTGGACCCTAACTTGACCCTAATTCCTACTGATCCAATTCCCAAAGTAGGAATGATCATGGATCCAAATGTCATTTATGATCTAGAGAAGCACATGGCTCTTCATAGAGAGCCTGAGCAATTGTGTATGGGTCACATCAAGAACTCCCTTTCTGATCGACTCTATGGTTTGTATGCATCGGTCACAGATTGGAAGCTAAGTACAAGGCATATGAGGAAGATAATAACAAGTACCTTGTGTCTAAGTACCTAGAGTTTCAAATGGTTGATGACAAACCTATCATGGAGCAAGTGCGTGAACTATGGGTCATGGTTAACAAGTTGAACACGCTTTCCATCTCTATACCGGATTTCTTTCAGGTTGGTGTGATCATCGCCAAACTGACATCCTCATGGAAAGACTTCTCTAAGAGAATGATGCACAAATCTGAGGACTACTCCTTGGATGATATGATGAAACACCTTCATAATGAGGAGGAAACTCACACCTCCATATAGGCTGGGTTAAGTAAACATGTGTGTAATAGTTTGAGAGTAGGGCCCATGGTGGATGGGTGTGGGTGCTATAAGTTATAAGGGGTGAGGGTGGGTGGGTGTGGGGTGTGGGTGTGGATATAGGGGGAGGTGGTGTGGGGATATGGTGATTAGTGGTATAGGTCGGGGTAGATTTGGGTGGTTGGGTAGGTGGGTGTGGTTTGTAGAGATGGAAGAGGTCCATGTCTTAGGGTAGTCATTAATGTAGACTTGTGAGATGAGGCACATACACACATAATTAGTTAGAATAGAATAAACTAATTATTGTGGACTAATCATTCCTACATCCACACAATAATTAGTTAGAATAGAATAATCTAAGCATATATATATATATATATATATATATATATATATATATATAGAGAGAGAGAGAGAGAGAGAGAGAGAGAGTCAAGATCAAATAAGAAGGAAATTTTTGGTTGGAAGGTAAGAAGTTTTTTTCTACATATTTTTATCGCGAACAAACAAAATGAATCATTAGATGATTCATTTGTAAGATGATTCACAAGAAAAAATTCTCAAAAAAAACATCTCGATGATTCATTTATATAATGATTTTGTTGTTATTCCTTAAAATTATCATAAAAGTGAATTTTTTCTTAATTTAGTTAAAAATGAATCATAAAAATGTTTTTTTCTGGATTTTTTTCTTGTGAATCATTTTACAAATGAATCATCTACTGATTCATTTATTTTGTTCATCAAAAAAATATGTAGAAAAAAAACTTCTTACCTTCCTACCAAAAAAAATTTCTTACCGGATCTATATATATATATATATATATATATATATATATATATATATATATATATATATATATATATATATATATATATATATATATATATATATATATAGGCTTAGGTTATTCTATTCTAAATAATTATTGTGTGGATGTAGGAATGATTGTGGACCAATCATTTTAGTTATGTTAAGAAATTGATAAACAAATATTATTGAATTAAAGATAATTGAAAAATACCATCAAAATTCATCATAAGGGTATTTTAGTCAAATAACATAATTTAAAAAAAAATTACAGATTTTAGGGAACAATTAATTCTCTAAACTTTAAAGTTTTGATTTTTCTTAATAATAATTATATTAATTTGGACATTCTAAAAGAATGCATCCATATTATCTTGAAAAACTCATTCTATTCTGACAAAATATTATAAACATGTACTATCAAAATTAATATTTTTTAATTTATACAAATTTTATATGAAATGGATTTTAATATTTTAGAATCAGTAACTACATTCATTCTTAAAGAATACAATTATGAACATAAATTACATTTATTCTAAAAGAACACTAATACATTCTAAGGGAATATTGATGTTAATACTAATACATTTTAAGGGAATATTGTTGTTAATCCATTCCAACAGAATATAAAATCCATTCTGAATGAATAATAAGTCCATTTTGTAAGAATACAAAGTCATTATCATGTTAGTTGTTTCACATCACTATGTAATTGAATCCTTCCCTGTTAAATGAATCCCAACAAGATCCAAGAAAGTCTTGAAAGCTGGAAAGTGTAGTTGAATCTGAACAACATAATTCTCATTCACTCTGTCTTTATCCCCTTGACAATGTGAATGGAATCCTATACACTTCAAATCCTTTATCTGTTGAACATTATTTAATTCCTAAAAACAATCTTGGGATTATATCTGAGTAGTATCACCTAATAGATTAACAAAAATAGCCATTAGACAAACTCCTGTTACCTTAAGTTCTCCCAACGAGGGTTTTCAACCAATCATGCTTCATCATAACACTTTTATAATGAAGTTTTTCAATCAGATAACAACATATTAGAAATTGAAAATGAGTTACATCAGCAACCAATTCATTTAGTAAAAGAGAGTAGATGGAGTGAAAAACAGTCAAAAGAAGAGTGATAGAGATATAATTACTGAGAAATAAATATACTAACAATCACATTAGGTATTTTGATACAAGATTCAACGTGAATCACAAAGTAATCTAAAAAAATATATAATTCTTTCAATAGAGAGAACGATAGAAACACCTAATTTAACTATACTAACAATTGCATTAGGTTAAAGTATAACCCTAGTGAATATGTGACAAAATTTAAAGCAACTAAGAAGAACAATACCTTTGTAAAGACTTTTGGTGGGTTCTTCATCAGGCAAAAAAGTGGCATCCTGAATTGTCCAACAAAGTTCCATCCAGATGAACTGGAAACAAAAAGTATGCTTCATGTGCCCAAGGTTTTTCCGATGTGGCCTGCCCAATAGAATAAAATCATGTTAACAAACAAAAAATTATTTTCTCAATCACACTCAAAAAAAATTTGATTAGGTGAAATGAAAAGAGATGATTTTATATGATCACAGATCTGATTGTGCATAGAAATAAGCTACCTTTAGTGGAATGGATCAACAATGTCAGCAGATTTGGGTGGTTAAACAGGGCGGATACAGGGATCTATTCCTTCACCAACTGCAGTTGATTCGGAGTCCGTCGTCACCCTGCTGCTTCGGAGTGGAGCATCAAAGTCTAGTATTGTTTCGTTACTTTCTACCGTCGGTTAGTAGCAGACGATGAAGAACGAAAGCGGTCGTTGGGTATGCCGATGTCCGTTGCCTTGCGC